CACATTGATTCTGCGTGTGGCAAAACACTTAATAAATGTTAGATTGTGATCATTTTTGAATGTGCATGGTAGCACATTGCAACAGGTTTTTAAGAAAGAACTCCTCTGAGCAGGATAACCATTTAAGAACAGGTAATAATGAAGATTTGTTCACATTTCCAACTCAACAGCTTTTTCTGATTATAGTCGGCCATCAGCTCGGTTTCTCAATCCTCTGGTTGATGCTTTTTTATAAAGCATCTCTTGGTCTTTTACTTTGTACTTCCCGTTATTTTTACATGTAATGGTAATCCACTGAGCGTAATTCTCTCCCCGTCTTCGATAGTTGTACAACACTTGCACAGCTGAAGCACTGCTCTGGCAGCAAGTGCTTTTATGAAACATTCTGATTTACAGTCAGTGATTGTAAATCATTCATCTTGATAGACTCAAGCACCTTGTAATTCCCAAGTCATGTAATACGGTATGAGCTACAGTCTTGTGAAAGCATTTCTTTTTCAAGTGTGTATATGTGCATGTTTTTCCAACCAAATTGTGTGGCAGTTTCTTGTATATTACTGTTTATCTCTGCTGTTTTAGTACTTGTAAACTGCACATGTGCTGCAGTTAAGCATTTGAAAAGAACATTCAGTCTGTTAAATGTGTAAAAATGCTACGACTATTTATTTATTTTTTTCTCTGATTTTTCTGTGGTGTCTTATCCACTGAAAGTTTTTGAACTCTTTCCATCTGATACCTCTGTTATCTTGCTGTTGTAGACGACTGACTCCATATACAGAGGTATTATCAGTGCCTGTAATTTATCCTGAACTGTATGCAGTGACTGAGAAATCACTACCTGATAAATGTTGGATATCCCTCATTAAAAAGGTTAGGTCAACATTTGCTCCTGAACTACTCTATCACAAGTATCTGTTAAATAAATTTGCTGCTCTTACTGGGATACATGAGGTAGAAGTTGTTAGCAAAGGTAAAGTCAGTGGGACTCAGGTAATTGCACTGAAAAATCTTTTTATTTTGTGAGTTGAATTGACTTTCCTTCTGTCTCACAAGAAAGAGCTTAAATCGAGTACAGAAATCGGTTTTCAGTCCCATTGACTAAATAATCCCCTAGAAACCAGGTGAGCTGTAAGTGTTATCCCTCTAATTGTAATATTATATTTTGAAATGTGACTGTAAATTTCTTCTTGTGTAAATACACCGTTTCATTCCTGCTGATTGTCCTGTGAACAATTTTTAAGTGATTAAGATCGGTTGCAGCGTGGAAATAAATTTTAATATTTAAAAAAGTTTTGTTTGGGTTTTTTTTTTTTTTAAGCTTCATGTCTGTCTTGTTTTTTTCTTTAACTCATGTATTAATATGTTGTGACCACATGGTGGTAGTACTGTATAATGACACCTGAGTGATTGAGTAGGTAAACACAGAGACTGTGCTTCATTTGATGTGCATACAAATGAGGCTTTCTTTCTGTATTATTTTAATCATTTCTGTCATGACTAATTACAATTTCAGGCAATACCCACATCCAAACTCCCCAAAAAGAAAACCGCAAATAAATAAATGCACCATTGGATGATGGAATAATTTGGCCTATGGCTCTATGAATAATTATGACTTTAAATATGTGTAGAATCTTAAACACTGTGTGTCCTCAACATGCGATATACAGTGGGGCAAAAAAGTATTTAGTCAGCCACCGATTGTGCAAGTTCCCCCACTTAAAATGATGACAGAGGTCAGTAATTTACACCAGAGGTACACTTCAACTGTGAGAGACAGAATGTG